TGCGCGTGCGCACACACACACACACACACACACACACACACACACACATATAAAAAAAGAAAAATGCTTCTGACACCCCCCCAAAATAATTTGGTTTGGAGTAAACAAATGCTTGAGAGACAGAGACAGAGAGACAGAGAGAGAGAGAGAGAGAGACAGAGACACAGAGAGAGAGAGACAGAGACAGACAGAAAGAGAGAGAGAGAGACAGAGAGAGAGAGAGAGACAGAGAGAGAGAGACAGAGAGAGAGAAAGAGAGAGAGAAAGAGAGACGGAGAGAGAGAGACAGAGACGGCCGGTAACAGCACCTGGTTTATGATGAATATTGTCCAAGGATCCACATTTAGACGTCACATGGCTGAGGTCCACCGGCTTGTAAACAATTTGTATCTGCGAGGACAAAGAGAAGAAGGACACGCTGTTTCTTTGGGGTTGGGATTTCAAAATGTTTAAAAGAGCCCACCAAGATGTGCAGAAAGTGAGACCAGAAACCACACCGGAGCAGTTTGAAAAGCCCTCTGTAAGGTTAATCAACCAGGCACAGGCAAAAGGAAAGGTTTTCACCAGGAACTGTGGACCGTTGAAGTAAATTCTCCCCTGAAAGCCAGCATGCACAGACTCTGATTTTTAAGAAATGTTTTTTTTGCAATCTCAGAGTAACAAGGACCAGCATATAAAAGTGGATACCTTTTTATAAAGTATCACACAGAGCTTCCGAATCAGCATTATCTCCTATCCCCAAAGTTAATTAAATATGATCCTCTTAAGGGGGAAATATACATTTCAGTCTTTCCTCGGCTCTAACATACGTTGATCACATTATTCCAGATTATTTGCAGACTATTTATCCACCTCAGGAAATTTCTTCCTGCTTTCAGTGGAATGCAGTTTCAACTGCAATTGTTAACAAGAAAATGTTTCCACTGATTAGATCCTTGGGATAAGATGAATATTTCAAAAGGTAAGAAGGAAGCCATCTTCTGTTTTATTGCTGTAATCGCTTTTTATTAAGAATTTAAAATTTCCCTTGCAGAACCACTACATGTGGCTGCGTTTCGCATTATCTTTATTGCATTTCCAGAGCATGCACAATTTTTTTTCATCACATCTCCAGAGGACAGAAGTGGAAAAGCAACCGTGATTGAAAGCTTCTTAGGTGACAGTGGGAAAAAGGAGAAAGTGTGTAATCAAATAAAAGAGGCTACAGAGGAATAAAATGTAAAAAACGAACAAAATTAAATACCTTTTCTGATGTAAAACTTAAGGCTTATGTCCACAAAAACTGAAAGAACAGAAATAGTCAATGTGCATTGAAAAGGGGTTGCTTTTTAAATATATATATATATATATATTTCTTTTAAAAGTCATGACAGAAAGGAGGTTATCTGGAACAATGCAGTGATCATAACCATACTGTGGCCAGAATTCGTTCCCCTCAAAAGGAAAACAAAGTCTTAATGCATGCAAGGCTAACAACAGTGCAAGTTCTGATGAGTCAAATTCATTGTCCGTCTGTCCCCCCACCTCCAGTAAAATAACGTGCATATATACACATTTTTTTAGAGATTAGAAACTTCAGGTATTGGAATGAGAGATGCTGAACACCACACACAACGGATGCTATGAATGAGCCATTTAGAAACGATCACCATCATACACGACAATCCATGTGACTCAATTAGGGGCACGTAGGGGACACAACACAAGGTGCACCAAAAATGTCTGGATTAGTTGTTACTGGCTTACAGCAATCGTGAGCAGCATAGTCAAAAGGAACGCAATTTAAGCAGAGACAAATGGAAAACTCTCCAAGTAGGGTTGCCAAGTCACTTACTTGGCACAGCGGGGGAGAGTCGGTCCCTGCCTGGGACGTTATGGTACCACAGAGTTTCCAGGCTGATTGCTAGAGCGTTGGCCGGCAACATGCCCAACGTAATGACGTCACTTCCAGGTGACGTCATTGCGCCGGGCACGCCAGCCCAAACCGGGCACTTTGGGGATGGGGTTCCCCCCGCTGGCCTGATCTGGACCGGTGGGGTTGGGGGCCCTTTGGGTGGGCAATCCCCCCCCGGGGGACCTGGCAGCCCCATCTCCAAGGCTTCGGGGAGGGGGACACTCCCTAGCTATCTGTTCTGAGTAACTTGCCCAAAGGATAAACCACTGTCAAGGCACCTATAGCTTTCTTAGCCATCAAGCCAGAGAGGGCCTGAACTGGGCGTTTTGAGCTGTGTAACTTGCATGTGTCTTTGGTTTGCTGTATCAGAAACCGGCCTAGTGTCTCTCCCAGATCTCCGGGGATCTCTGGACTTACAGCTATTCCCTGGGCATGTCCCCCAATTCACACATGCACATTACTTGCCTCTAGAGGGTGATTTCGGAGGTCCCAATTCCAGATGTCCCTTTCTACTTACAGCCTGGAAAGGCTAGAATCATTTTCAACTTCTCTCTCACAGACTAGTTAATGGGCCACTGGGTTGGTCATCTTTTAGGAAAGGTGCCAAGAAAAGGAACCAAGTAGGGAACTCAGTTACGTTTTTAGATCTAAGGCTAAAGTTCGTCTACCTGCTCAGCGGTGAAAGCTACGGAGAAGGGAAGCAAAAAGGGACCAACAACTCATTCCCGAGACAGAAGCAGGCATGGGACATCAGCTCGAGTGATCCGAACTCCAGGCCAGCAGCTTGACTGAGAACTGTACTTGCTAGGCTGTATCATGGGGGGTGGGAGTCGGCTCACCAACCAGTGGGTGACCGGCACTGCTGCCAGAAGATACAGCAGCCTAACTTTAGGGGGCTCAAACGCCAGGAAGTTTCCGGAAGAATAAGCTGGCGAAGGAAAGAACTGTTTGAGCTGCGTCCAATCAGCCTTTTTATTCAGGCTTTTTATTCAATCAGTCTGCTCACAGCTAAGCTCAGAGTACCTTTCATTGGGAGACTCCACACTCAGCTAAGAGGCCTGGCAGGAAAGCTCGGCTACCATTAAAACCTCTTAAAATCAGTCCCGTTCCCAGAAATGTGAGTCTGACAAAGGGTGGGGGAAGGAAGGAGAGAGACTGTGCGTTGGGTACAGTCAGCTGTTTCACTCCATCTCAACCCACCGCCTTCCTTACTACAGTTCCGCTCAGCATCACTAAAATTATTTTCCAATTTGTACCTTTAGCAGAATTATTGAGAGCTGTCTGTCGCTCCAACTGCCTGGAGCTTTTGGGGAGTTCTTAGCATCTGGCCCTTTGGGGGGGGAAGGGAAGGGAGGTCAGGTCTAGACACTGCATGGTCGTCTGCAACCACCACCACCTCTGTCCTCACCCGACTGCCCGAAAAGGGAACTCTGCACACCATAGCCAGTGTAGCAGGCCTGCCTCCTGGTTTTCAGCAACCCCAGAAAGACAGATCCAAACTTAAAAGTAACGGGATGAGAGTCCCCACTGATTCGGGACACTTATGGAGGACAGCGGCACAGGTCCCTCCCCAAGCATACGTGCCTTGCTTTTAATTCCCTTCCAGCTTTGCATTCAACAAAAACTCTTGAACATGAAAACGGAGAGAGAGCCACCAAATGGGAATGGCACATCCTGGGATTTGGTGGGCCAGCTCCGTGCCAGGAATACTCACGCAGGAACACACAAACAAAGGTGGATGGATACTGGGACGGGGGGAAGGCTGCCACAAAGCGAGGCAGACAAAAATGACAGGGGGAGCAAGACCCAGCAGCCACCTAATCTTTCTCCTTTATGCTATGGAAAGCCCTTCACTTCTGCGTGACTCAGGAAGGTCTGTCTTGCCACAAGAGACGCAACCGTTCAGTGCATGTGACGTTGCACATCTTCAACAAGAGAAGTATAGAAACATACTTGATTCTGAATTCCTTAGCCAGCCTGTCTCCATTCTGTCTGCTGACAAAGCTCCCCGCAAATTCAGTATTTGGCCCAGAATCCACACCTACAGTCCCTATAAGATTCTATAAGAGTGGTTTTCTATGATTCTATAAGAGTGGTTCTAATGATTCTATATCCTGCCAACCTAGCAGTTCGAAAGCAAGAAATTGCAAGTAGATAAATAGGTACCACTTCAGTGGGAAGGTAACAGCGTTCCGTGCGCCTTGGTGTTTAGTCATGCCGGCCACATGACCACGGAAACGTCTTCGGACAGCGCTGGCTCTTCGGCTTGGAAACGGAGATGAGCAACACATCCCTAGAGTCGGATTTGACTGGCTTTCGAGCAAGGGACACCTTTACCTTTACCTATGATTCTATAAGAGTGGCTGAGCAGTGGAACAGACTGCCTCGGGAGGTGGTGGATGCTCCTTCGCTGGACGTTTTTAAGTGGAGGCTGGACGACCATCTTCCGGGTATGTCGTAGGGCTATCTTTCGGCTACGCTCCTGCTGAGTGCCGGGGGTTGGACTGGATGACCTGCAAGGCCCCTTCCAACTCTAACATTCTATGATTCTATGATTCCTGGTCACAGTGGCTGGTTCCAAACTTCACCCTTTAACCAACTGCCACAATCTGTTC